GAGCAGTTAGGACACAAGTAGTCCCATGGTCCTCACCATCACTAACATGCAGAGAATCTTCCCAGAGTATAGATATGGCAGCACATAGTTCCAAGGCCTAAAAAGATTGTAGATACCATTAAAGGAGCCTGCTGAGGGCCTCCTTCCTTGCCCACTGCAGCTCAATGGAAGCAGAGTGATGTGATAAGAAGCTAAATGGCCCATACCAGATAGAGCTCATAAAAAGATAGTATCATGCTACATGACATTCATCCAGGAAGCAAGAGAACATGGTCACCAACTGCATCCACCGGACTCCATTCTGTCTTCACTCTTTTTCTAAAAAGGATATGCTCTCCTTATCTCCAGAACTACCCACAGCTTACAGCTTCTAACATGCCTATCCTGATTCTGGACAGATGATAAGATTGCTCTCCATTCTTGAAAGAAAAGCTGATGGAGAATATGAAAGTAGGAGGGCCATGGAGAAGGGAGAAAGATGTATGGAGGCACAAGTGGTGTGGTCATTACAACGCAATTCTATCACAAATAGCGGTAATGATACTATAATGGGAGTGGCATTTGGAAGTTATCCAAAGGGCACTTAAAATTCTGAAACGACATAGCAGACATTTCTGAACTCATTCTTCTAGAGATAAATCTGTGCATGCATTTATTTATTTATTGCAGATTCTTTTGTCTACTGTATAAAAACAAAGGCAATGTTCCTAAGTGAAAAATATCCAGAATACAAAAAGCAGAAATTTCCTTAAATGTTGGACATGTTTCCCCATTCATCACTCTTTCATTTCTAATAAAATTTCAAACCCTAATTATATACTTGCTTCTTGACATCTAATTTTGCTTTGGATTGGCACAAACAAATTGGCCTTGGTTTTATAACAGACAAATATAGGAAATACATCTGTTCTGAAATATTTCTGACACACAGCCATATATAACACTGGACTGTGATTTAAAATAGGCTCCTCATAGGTTTTTATTCTTAGAATCATATAAAACACATGTCAGCCTCTCCGGAAAATATTAACAAGCAATCTTTTTGTCTGTAGATACCTTGCATTTTGTCAACTACACTTGATGGCTGTAATTTTGAGAGACTTTGGACCACTAAGGTTAACTTTAAGTTTTCTTTTTTCTTTTGTAGCAGTATTGAGGTTTGAGCTTGGAGCCTGGTGGTTGCTAAACAGGTGCTCTACCACTGAGCCATACTGCCAGTTCTGTTTTGAACTCCAAACCTGTTTTGAAATAGGGTTCTACTTTTTGCCCTGTATTGAGTTTGGACTGTGATCCTCCTTTTTGATGTTTCTCACCATAGCTTACTCGACACCATAAAATATAATACCACTCCCAGCTCTTTCCCCTTGGAAGGAGTTGCACAAATTTTTCTATCCAGGATAACCTAAAAATCTCAATTCTTCTCCTCTCAGTCTCCCACATAGCTGGAGTGACAGGTGTGTACTACTATTTCCAGCTATTTCTTAAGTACTCTCCAACTTTTTGCATGTACTAGTCCCTAATCTCCATTCTCCCAATCCCAGCCTCTCTTCCATGGTTATCAGCATAAGCCTATGACCCTGGCTTCAGTTTTCTCTCTTCCAATCAAGATTAAATGAACTGAATGACTTCCAGAGGAAGATTCTGGGAATAGGTGAAAGATCTGGTTATTTAAAAGTGCTGCTTAAAACTGTGTAAGCCTTGAAGAAGTAAGGGGGCAGCAGTGATGCTATACCTGTGTCCAGCACTGATGAATGGCAGGTACATCTATACTAGCTTTAAGCCTAGTAATACTGTAAGGTCCAACTGGACTCTGGGATCTAATGTCACAATTTGGACATGTTTTCATGCATCTGACAAATGATTTATGATTAAAGTATACGAAAAATATTTAAAATTCAACAGGGAAATAAACAATTTAATTTGTAAAATAGGTCAAAGATCTGAACTACCAGCTCACCAAAGAAGATATCTAGATGGCAAATAAACATACAAAAAGATATCCAGCATCTTATTTCATGAGGGAACTGCAAACTAAAACAACAACATCACTGCACATGTATGGCTAAAATCCAAAACACTGATGGCACTTATGGCTAATGAGCATTTGAAGCAACAGGAACACTCATTTATTGCTATCAGGAAAGCAAAATGGTATAGCAGTTTGGAAGAAAATTTGGCAGTTTATTACAAAGCTAACCACTAGGCTTATCATATGATCCAAGAATCATGCTCTTAGGGATTTACCCAAAATGAATAAAAATATGTATAAATCCTACTGAAAACTAGAAGCAACCTAGATGTCCCTCAATAGGTGAGCAGGCAAATGAACTACTATATTCACAAAATATCATGTTATCCAGTGATCAGATGAATTATTAAACCATAAAAAAATTGTAAGAAGCTTAAGTACATACTGCTAAGTGGAAGAATGTCTTGAAAGGGTTTATACAGTTTAAGCTGGAAAAGACAAACCAGCAGGACCAGTGAAGAGACCAGAGTGGCTGCCAGGTGATCAAAGAAGGGAAGGAGAGGGATGGAATATAGAGGGCATTTCAGATAGTGGAATGGTTTCATTTGTCAAAACTCCAGAGTAATACACTACTAGCATGAACTGCAATGGAAACTACGGGCCTTAGCCATCATCAAACAATATTGGCTTATCAATGATAACAAATGTACATACTAATGCAAGGTGGTAATAATAAGGGTTTGAGGGGTACATGGGATGTGTACCTTCTGCCGATTTTTCTTCGAAACCTAGAACTGCTCTAAAAAATAAGGCCTGTTAATATTTTTAAAAAGATACTGAATTGTTGTCAGATTCTCAAATACTATAATCATCTGTTTAAATTGTGTTTCACTGTACAACTGCTCCCAGGACGTCTTAAGGTCTTCCAGGCTGGAGAAATTTCCAATTGAGATTTTTTTTCCTTTTCTCACTCTTTCATGGAAAATTTCTTTGATTAATCCAACTTTTCTACTTTACTTGATGTTGAAATCAGGAGTATGCTCCTTTGTTCTCTATTGTTTTAAACACCTGAGGGCCTCATACTTGTTAGGCAAGCATCTCCTAGCCCTTTAGTTGGCTTAGTTATTCTTTTTTTTAATTTTTATTTATTTTTTATTGTGAAAATACTGTACAGAGGGGTTACAATGACATGGGCAAGGTAATGAGTACATTTCTTATTCAGATGGTGTCTTGTCTTTCTACTCTGCTTTTGCCTTACTCTACAATACAAAGGCAGCCTGTGTAGCTGAGATGATAGGCATGTGTCCCCAAGTCAAGCTCCCTGTTGCCCTTGAACCATGAGCCTTTCAAGTTCTCCCTCCTAAGTAGCTGGGATTACAGGCATGCCCAGTTATGCTAGCCAATTGCATCTTTTCATTATAGTTTGAGCATCTAGGTTCATTCATTTCTTGTTCTCGGCCAGCCCCATACTACTTTCACCATACCTGGGTACCTGATAATGAAATTCATTTATGACTACTTTCTATTGTAAAACATCACAACAATTAAGTACACCATTTTAACTATTTTAAGTGTATCAGCAGTAGTGCTGGGTATTTAACTATTGTTGTGCAGTAAATATTGAGAGGTTTTCAAAGAATGTTCCTTGTGGACTATCTTGAATAGGGGCTTTCTATATAAAGACAATTCACCTCTCTCTTTTTAAACAGTATTTATGGCCACAAAAAACCTGCCAGGAAGGCAAAAATGGAACCAAGATAAGTATGATATACTTATATAACTAGATCTTATTTTTTAAATTGTTGTACTTCTTGTCAATTGATAAATCTGTAAAGAACGCAGCACCTGTTAAACATCACACTGTTTTCTACATGGTGAGGAGAAAGTAATGATCAAGAGACAGTCTCTGCCTTCCCCTAGCATCCATTCTTACATGTACATGAAGCAATGTATGTTCAAGAAAAATGATGAAAAGCTTATCTATAGAGGGGGCCAAAAGCCTATTAACATCTCAAACTCAGCCTTACAATTTAACAATTAATGGCAAACTTTGGGGCTGGCCAGAAATGTTTGTTTACCTCGATAGGTGTGTGTGTGTGTGTGTGTGTGTGTGTGTGTGTGTGTGTGTGTGTGTGTGTGTTCGTCCTAGGGTTTGAACTTAGGGTCTGGGCGCTGTGGCTGTCCCTGAGCTTTAAAAGAAACATACAAAAAACAAAAAACAAAAACCTCAAGTCTAGTGCTCTATCACTTGAGCCACAACTCCACTTTCGGCTTTTTTTCTTTCTTTCTTTTTTGGATGCTTAATTGGAGGTAAGAGTCTCATGGACTTTCTTGCCCAGGCTGGCTTCCAACTGCCATGCTCAGACCTCAGCCTCTTGAGTAGCTAGGATTACGGGCATGAGCCAGCTGTTCACCAGGCTGTTCACTTAAATATTTAAAAGCTAGGACCTCTAAGAAGCAACGAAAGAGCAAGACACACACAAGCACACACACACACAATCATCAATTAGATTGTGTGTGTGTGTGTCTGTATTCCTTTCTAAGAAAACCAGAAATCAATCAGACCTGCAGATCATTCTGAATAATAGGTGAATCTGATGTTAGTCTGTCCATTTACATAGCTTTAAAGTTTAGCAGTCAGAGTTTAGCAGCAGTTCTTCAATGGTGGCCCATCAGTAGGCGCTCCCAACCCCGGAGCTTTTCCTAGCCACTTAGGTGTGAGCCCCCCCCCCCCCCCGCCCCAGCCCCTCCAGGAGCCCCGGCCCGGCCCGCAGGCTGCCCCTGCCCCCTGCCCCTGTCCCGTCCCCTCGCCCCCCTCGGCCCCCCGCCCGGGGCGCGCAGGCCCTCCCGCGGGAGGCGCTCGGGCGCGGAGGGCGTGGGCCGGGGGCGGGGCGAACCCCGCAGCCCGGGTGCTGCGGGAGCTGTCAGTGTCAGGCTGGCGGAGGGAGGAAGTGATTGCTCCGGGAGGAGCGCGAGCCTAGCGGCGGGCGCAGCGTGAGACAGCACATCCTGCTGGCCGGGCCCGCCGCCCTCGGCTGCTCCGCCACGGTCTCGCCAGAGCCCGGGAGTCGCCGCCTGCCAGACCCCAGAGCCGCCGCTGCCCAGGTAAAAACCCCGCCGCAGGTCGCGTCTCCGCGCCGCCCCCTCCGCGCCCCTCCCCAGCCCCGGGGTCGTGCGCCCTGCGCTGGCAGCCGGGCAGCGGCGTCGGCGACCGCTGCAGCCTCCGCTGCACCCTGCCCTGGCCCCCTCCCCAGGCTCCTACATACTCCGCGGTGCCCTAAGGCGGCCCAGAGCCCCCCCAGCGGCAGCCCCTGTGGCCGCTCCGGGAGAAGCGGAGAGGCCCGTGCCGAGGAGGAAGGGTCACGAGGTCGTCACCTTGGCGCCCACCTTGCTCCCGGGAGGGGCATCCCCGGGGCGCCCCGCCTGGGTCTCCCTCCCTGCCCCCTCCGCTCAGACAGAAGGCGAGCAGCTGTGAAATCTGCACCCCGGAGAGCTTCCAGCTGACGGCCCCCCGGGGCGGGGAGCTGCGGAGGGAGGCGAGGATGCCGTCTGATTGCATGTCGGAGCTGTCTGCCCAGCTCCTGGATGCGGTTGCTACCCGCCAAGTTAGCGGGAGGGGAGGCACTTCTTCTCGCAGGGCTTTAATTAAACATTCAAGCACGCAAGAAAATGCCAGTTTCCTTCTCGATTACAAAAAACGAGTGTGGATGGGGATGCGTTTTGGTAAACACCTTCCTGGCTGCGGGGCTCTCCAGCCCGCTCCCCGCAACCCACTCCCACTGGGAAGCGGAATCGCTCTGTCCTGGTAAATCTGTGCGTCATCACCATAAGGGCAGTGATTCCCCGCAGCCCCGGTGGCAGCGCAGTGTGCGGGGGGCCTCGTGACTGGTACCTTGGCTAATAAGGTTAAAGAGAGACTCAGGGCCAGGGCAGGAAATGACTGAGGAAATCAGACTCCGTGAAAGGCAGAAGATGGAGTAGATGTGTTGTCCTGGCCTCTTACCACACCTAAATAAAGGGTAGGAGCAAGTAGCCAGCCATTTTCTTGCTTGCAATTGCCTTTCAAGAGCCATGGCTGTAGACAGAGTTGTGAAAAATTGCTTCCAAACATTCCAGCCTAGTAGGAAGCTAAGCTCAACAGCCAGGCCACAGGAACTGCAGTAGACATCCTAGGCTCGTAAAACAGATGAGGGGGACTGTGTGTATGTCTGGACTTTCTGTGCAATTGTGGGAACTGTAGAGAAACATAGTAACCACTTTTGCGAATTGGCAATGGGAACACACACTGCAGATTGCCTCCCCAGAGTAGGGACAGTGAGAATGTGAGTGATAGGCCCTCCCCCTTATTTACAATACCAAGTTTGCTTCAAAAAGTTTGCCTTGGGAAAAGGACTTGAAGTCTGCTCTTCCTTGTGTGTACAGTGTGCGTGCACACTGGTGCTGGGGGCTGTGCCTGAGCTTTTTTGCTCAAGGCTAACTCTCTACCACTTTCACCTTGTTGTTGTTGCTAGCTAGTTAATTAATTGGACAGAAGGGTTTCCTGGACATTCCTTCCTGAGCTGGCTTCCAACTGTGATCCTCAGATCTCAGCCTTCTGAGAAACTAGGCTTATCAGCATGCACCACAAACCATCATTCTTAATAAGATAAAGTGGATTACTCTCAAGCAGTAAGGCACTATGTTCTCTGTATTGCAACCAGCCTGGCCAGGACTTCTGAGGATTTGGGGAACCAGGGCTCCAGGTGCTATTCATCTAAAAATCCAGTGTTTTCTCTAGCATGGTTTCTTAATATGGTTGGAGGACTCAGTGCAGACTTATCCTGTTTGTCCATCTCTAGGCCCCATTTTGCATCTAGAACATCTATTGCATCTCTTCTTTGCCTCAAGCCTCAGACACTGCTACACCTGCTTCTAGAATTCTTCTTAAATGTCTGGGCTGCAGCAGCCTCTTTTGTACTGTCCTCTTGAGGAGGAGAAAAGGGATGGCTCAATAAGCCTTGCCCCACTCCTAATTTTATTTTTCAATTTTCCTACTGAAAATACACCTGAAGCTCCTTTTGGTCATCAAAAGTTTACATCATTAGATATAATCATAGTTACAGATACAGGCAGAAGAGAGAAACTCAACCCTCTGGAGGAAGCTAGCAGAGTTAGGCCACTGGTTTGTGGTCCTCAATTTCAGCTCTACTTCTTTCTCCCATAGTGTTTTATATCTAAGAGAGATACTAGGAACTTGCTCCCTAGTACTTTTCCCCAGAATACTTCTTTCTAAGTCAACCTGTGATCAACTAGTCCTTCCCCTGACTGCTCGTTCTGAGTAGTGGAAATCTTGGGAAATTCATATGCTGAGTCCATACACATTAAGCTGTGTAGAGCAGTCCTGTAAAAGGCATGCCAAGCTATTGACCCAAGTCTGCCTTGTGCAGAGACTGTATGTGCAGGTGCCGCTCTGTTGTCCTTCTGGATTGTTCTTTCTCCTCCTTTCTGTTGTTAACTTAGTATCAAATGAAGGGCATCACACACCTGCTGCAAACATGAGTATCTTCCTTGTTTTTCTACACTTTATGTCCACAAATAAGACAGATGTTGACAGTAATAACTAAAATGTATGGAGCACCTCATTTTACAATTTCAGTTCATTTTAAAGTATTCCACATGTGTATCATTTGAATCTCACAAAAATCATATGAGGCCATTATTGTTTGCAATCCTATTTTACAAATTAAGAAATTAGAGGAAAATGATGGGACAAGAAGATAACAAGTAACTTCCCAAGGCTTGCTCAAGCGGTAAAGCCAACTTGAACATAGGAAGCTTGGCACCAGGTCAGGATTCTTACCTAAGGTTCTATCTTATAAGGCAATTCCATTGGTTTATTTTCAGATATTGAATCCTAGGCTTTTGTTTATTTTTGGTCAAGGAAAGATTATTTCTTTTTAATCCTTAGATGAATACCATGAAGTAGAAATCATGCTCCCTATTTTATACAGGTTGAAACTGAATTCAGTTATAAACTCAAGGTCATGGTTAATAATTGGCAGAGGGAGGATTCAAACCAGGTCTACCCGGCAACTCTATATTCAGAACCCATCCATTCTGATTAATACCTGCTATAAAAACAAAGCACAGAAAATTTCTACTTCTATATTGGCTGAAATGTTTCCTCAAACCATTATTTCCTTGAAGCCACAAATGTAGCCATTTTGTTGTTGTTGTCGTTGTTATTTCCACTGCTGCTGCCTGATTGGCACCTAAACTCAAAGTCAACTTTGTCTCCTGAAATAATATATTGTGTTGGTTTTAAACTAGCCAATTATCCATGATGTTTTACAGATATCAAAAGCCCCCTATATGCTTTCTACTTTGACCAGAGATCCCATTTACTAGAAAACTGTGTGACTTCTGCATCTCCCTATACTGTAAAGACACAGGAAAACAACATAAAGAAACTCAATAAAAGCTCAATAGGAGAAGAGAAACAGACTCCTTGTGGAGGAGTATTAGGGAGAAAGAGGTGGGGTAATAAGGGTTAAAGAGGATGGATAATATTGAAATAGATGGTCAGTAAATATGAAAATAGAAAAATGAGACCTCTTGAACTTAGGTTAGGAAAGGAGAAGGGCTAACTAGGTATGGGAGAATGATAAGAGGGATTGAGTAACTATATTTTATACATACATGGAAATGTGTGACATTTCATTGTGATGAAATCATCTTCTGTATAGCTTAATGTAAGCTAATAAATTCAATTCAATTAGAAAAGCATTACACATTTTTTTAAAAAAGGAAATGTGAAAGCTTGTCTACTTTTGGGAATTTAGCTGGGACAAATGAATATCTAGTTGACTTAAAAAAACAGGTTAGGGGCTGGGAAGGTGGCTCAGTGGTAGAGCGCTTGCCTTGCATGCATGAGGCCCTGGGTTCGATTCCCCAGCACCACATAAGCAAAAAGAAAAAAGCCTGAAGTGGCGCTGTGGATCAACTGGTAGAGTGCTAGCCTTGAGCTGAAGAGCTGAGGGACAGTGCCCAGGCCCAGAGTTCAGGCCCCACGACCGGACCCCCCCCCCAAAAAAAAAAAAACAAAACAGGTTAATTCAAAGAAAAACTCTCTCTTTTTTTTTTTTTTTTTTTGGTAAAGTATAAACCCAGCTCATATGAAAACTGTTCCTCTTGACTGGAGATATTTCATATATGCCCTGGAATCATTTCCTTTGCTTCTTCTATGCAGGAAGCCAGTCACCAGAATGTCAGAGTGAAGCTTGCCTTGGGATGCAGACGCAACTTCCCAGGTGTTAATCTCTAAGAGCTCACAAGTTAATAGCACCTTGTGTGCTGTTTTTGTGTGTGTGTGTGTGTGTGTAGGGGAAGCTTCTTAAAATCAGCAGACACCATGAGCAGGCCTATGAGCAGTTTTCAGATAGTCACTAATCCCAGTAAGATGGTGCATTTATGCACAAATGTAGGTTTTTCTTTTGGTGGGGGAATAAAGTATGATTAAAAATATATTAAGAACTACTATGTGTATGTGCATTCACACTAGTACTGGGGCTTGAACTTAGAGCCCACGTGTTGTCCCTTCTTTCAAGACTGTTGAACCACAGCTCTACTTCTGGCTTTTTGTTGATTCATTAGAGATAAGCTTATGAAGGACTTTCTTGCTTGGGCTGTCTACGAGCTGGCTGAAATCCTCAGATCTAAGTCTCCTGAGTGGATTACAGGCATGGTGACTGGTGCCCGGCTATTATATTTATATTCAATGTTTAGCAAAGGGGAGAGGCACAAGGCTACCCTCATCAAATGTATTATAGGCAAAGCAAAACTACTTGCCAGAACCAGACAATAAGAAAAATCTCTTCTTGATTATCATATCAAGACCCCAGAAGTCTGGGTGTCAAGAACACTATTCAACAACCCAGGCTGCCACTAAGTTAGGTCTCTTGGTGTGTTAGGCAGCCTGAGTTCTGTTTTACTCATTGGTCACTTACGCTATGCATAAATAGAGCTTTGTTACTGCTGTGTCCATTCATCGAATCGTCCTGACATCCTTGTAAGGTAGACATTTTTATCTACTTACACAAACAAAGAAATGCATGGAAGATTCAGTC